TTCATCATGCATATTCTTTTTTTCTTCCGCACCATGATGTTTTGAGAACATTCATATTTTTTTATGTTTTCATGTATGTCCGTAAAACAAAAATATTTTGTTACGTACATAAACTTAAATGTTTTCAAAACGACTAAAAAATCTAGCAAGTTTTTTGCAACTAAATATAATTTCCGTGGTCAGTATTCAAGAGCTATCGCTCCCGTTTCCCGACTAAGCCTGATTATTATAGAAGAAAGATGTACATTTTTATTCTTAAATGTCATTTCTTCAAAGATTGAATCTCTTATTTTATTATTATTGTTATTCAAAATTGTTAGAAGTAGCTTAGTAACTAAGAAGTAGAAGTAACTAAGGATATTTTCTCCTTTAACTGTAATTTTTTTTCTTTTAATCTTTTTGATGATTTTTTTTTGTTGCTTTTCCCTCCATTTGTAAAGCCTTTGCAAATCAATGAATTTTTTTTATAAATAAAAATTATCAGTTACCTTTTTGCATTTTAATAAAAAAAAGCATCAATTTTATTTAAAATTAAAAATAAAGAAATTTGAATTCATTAATTTTGAAACATTAACTTATTTTTGTATCTATAAAGTTCATTTATAAAAAATTATTCTTAAGATAATGATTTAAACATTTTTTTAAAAAAAATTGAAAGATTTTCTAAAAAATAAAAATTGACTGTCGATTCTAAGTGCTAGCTGGTTGAATTGACCAGCTAGCACTTAAAATTTTCGTATTTTCAACGCTGTATAAATACAAACATAAGTAGATAAGATTAGGTTTGATGAAAATATTTACATAGCATTTATAAATGCAATATAATACAATGCAATGTAAACTAACAAAGTTTTCAAAAAAATAAACTTAATGAAAAGTCTATCTAACAAAATACACAATATTGAATTTTTTTTTTTAATAAATTATTTAATAATTATTTAATAACTGTTTTATTTTAAAAAATAAATCTGCGAATAATTATTCTATATGATAAGGAAGGAAACTACAACTTCACTAGACTAACATTAAATAAACTGAATAACATGACACAGATTTTGATTGCCTAACTCAGTTCCGTAAAACCCAGTTAAGCTTGTGCTAGTCTAAACAAACCCATCTGCAGCAATTTTTCACTCTTGACATTTAAAGAACTGTCTTTTTTCTGTGTTCCTTTTAACTAAACAAATATGAATGTATGAAACACTTTTAAAAAATTAACTTTTATAATATAATTTGTGATCAAATTATATTATAAAAGTTAAAATTATATTTTATATATATATATATATATATATATATATATATATATATATACAGGCTTGGCCAGGAAAGTGTGTGATTTCTCATCACAATAATGATGATGAAAATACTATTTGATTTTGTAAACTTGACCACGGCTGTTACTATGTTTTGAAAATTTGTACACAACACGCTAAAAATTTTTTCTTAATTCGATTATGAAGTAATTAACTTAACTTGAAAAAAAAAACTTATTGTAAAAGAAGCAAATAAATTGTTTGGAATAAATAACATTAAATCGTTTATTTTTACCAATGCTTTTATAATATGTTACACGAAACCCATTTTAAATGAAGTAACAACTTACATCTAATGATTGTTTAACAAATGTAAAAAATAAACATATTATTTATTTAAAAAGTTGATGTAATTTTTTTTTAATTTAAAGACATTTATATAAATGTTAAAAAATATATACATTATTCATTAATATTTTTATAAAAAATCATTAATAGTGATTTGTAACTTATTTAAATGGGTTTCATTACTATAAAAATATAAGTGAAGATCAAAGTTATTTAATTCAAACGGCTTACAAAAAGTTTTTTTTTTCTTTTAAACAAAAACTTTCTACTTTTCAAGTGAATTAACTTTAATGATTCTTATATAAAGTTTAATAAAGAGACCATCGCTGTTTAAAGACGTCACTTATAAACTCTTCTTTTTTTTTTAATTTTTTTTTTTATAATTTTACTTATAAAATTTTTTTATATAATTAAACAATATAAATAAAAATTTATGCAACTTTCGATGATATTTTAATTAAAATCATTAGCCACTTTATTTAAAAGCCTTTGGCTAATATAAAAATATCAGTAGAGATAAGTGTTGAAGTTATTTATTTTCAACATAATTAAAAACCAATTTTTTCAGCGCATTTATTGAAAACTGTGGATAAATTGTCAAAACAAAATATTTTTTGCCTGGTCATATAAAGACTTCATAAAGTACATATAAAGACGAAATTCATATATAAAGGACATATAAAGACAAAATTCATACATATAAGACATATAAAGACGAAATTCATAAAAGACATATAAAGACAAAATCGCACACCTTCCTACCCAAATCTGTATGTAAGACCAATTTGAGCGTTGATGGTTATCTTCCATTAATTTGTAAAGACTCCAATAGTCACAGGCTTGGTCTGGGCATTTCTGATCAAATTGACAAGCCATCTCTCTTTATCCATCAGCCAATATTGTGTTGTTGGTGACTTTAATGCTCATCACACTGAATGGCTTGGCTCTAGTCTCAGTGGCTCTGCAGGCGTTAAAGCCCACAACTTTTACCTTTCTCAATCCCTAACTCAAATAGTCAACTTTCCAACTTGCTTTCCAAACAACCCGAATCATATATCTTCTCTACTCGACTTATGTCTTGTTTCTCATCCTAGTCAGTGGTCAGTTTCTCCTTCGGTTTGATCTCTCTAAAACTATTATCTTATTCTTCTTCATCATCAGAATCCCCCTATCATTGTACCTCTTACAACTACCGTAAAGCTGACTGGGACTCTTCTCGTAATTTTCTTCGTGATGGCCCTTGGGTAGAAGTATTTCGTCTTCTTTCTGACAAATGTGTCTCATACATAACCTCATGGATTCAGGCTGGAATCTTTTATTCCCTCTCGACGATTCCAGGTCAAGCCTCACTATTCTCTGTGGTTTTCCTCACATTGTGCTGCTGCAATTTTCAACCAAAATTGTTACTTCCATATCTATCAGCAAAACAATTCCTAGAAAACAGACATCTGTTTATTACTGCTAGAAACCATTGTAAAAAGGTTTTGTCTAACACTAAAGCCAACTATTCTCAGGTCATGAAATCTCGTATTTCATCACAAAAATTAGGCTTTTGTGACTTCTGGAGAATCTTTAATAGTATCAATAATAAGAGTGAATCTGTTATTCTACCTCTCTTGTATGGTTCAGACTTTGTCATCTCACCTAAAGACAAAGCTTAATGTTTGCTAAGAACTTTTCATCAATATCATCTCTTGATTCCACTAGTTGCGCTCTGCCTGATATAGCCATAAAGCAGGTTGATCCATTGCTTGACATTTGTATCACACCAGCTTCTGTATCTAAAGTGATTTCCTGCCTAGACTCTTCTACAGCTTGTGGCCCCGACAACATACCTGTTATAGTCTTGTAGAAGTTTCCGAAGTTGTCGTCTATACTTTCAAAACTATTTCACTAGTGTTTATTAGAGTCTTGTTTTTGAGCCTGCAGGCCTTTTTATGAGATTTTGATGCGTAACAGAAAAGTGCAACCTAAATTAATGTAACTTTATTAAAAAAAGATTTTTACATTGTTAAAAGTTTAATTGCGTCATTTGCATATTTTAAAATACCTCATTGTAAAAATTATTGTAAGTCTTTTAAATAAAATATCTTTAAATTAAACAATATTGTTATAAAAAAAAGTTATAAATTTAAATGTTGATTAAAAAAATAATTTCCTTGTTTTAAAATATTATACTTATTTACAGTTTAAATTGTAAACTTACTTTTTTTTCTTTAAAATATTCTTTTTACGGTTATTTTTTTAAAATGAGTGAACACTTGTTTATGGTTTTCTTAAAGGGATTTTAGTGTACTTCTACACAGTTAGATTGGGTTTTCCCCTTTTTAAAAAACTTTTGCGTTAACTGGCTTTTGATTAAATTAAAAATTGTAATTAAACAAAGATTTCCACTTTTTTTTTTTTTATATCCATTAAAATATTTAATTTTTATGTACCGTGAACGTTAAAGTAATTTTACTATTTCTTACTAAATCCAAAAAGAAAAATAGTATTTTCGGTTATAAGATGCTATTATCAGTATAATTTTAAAATTTACGTATCTTATATCTATAGCACTAGTATTAGTTTTGTTTTTAAAACAAATATAAGTTGGGCTTTTAAAGAATTTATTGATTGCATTATTTTTAATCGGTTTAAAGTCTGGTTCGTTTTATAAAAAAAATTATACTTTATAAAACTTAATGGCAAAGGGAAAACCCAAACAATATTTGAAATTGAGTTTGAAAGAACTTTTTTGTATTACGTCATTTATTAACTACAAAAGCACATTATTTAGACCAGTATTTGGAACTGGAACTTACCTGAAAAAGTTATATGTAATGCGAACATTTTAAAGTGACTTGAATTAAATTTATTTAATTTTTTTTTTTACTTTAACACAATTTTTGGAAATTTTACCAGTAAAAAAAAATTGTAAATTAGAGCATTTTTAATTTTTTGAAAGAATTTTAATTAAATTTAATCAAATAAATTACTAAAACTAAGAATAATAACTTAAACTTATTGAAAAAAGTTTATGCGTAACGTAAAATGCAAAACGCGTACGTGAATAGGTGCGTAAAACTCAAATAGTGAAACGCTTCTTAACAAGGCCTGAGCCTGCTAAAAAGTGGCATCTGTTATCCCTATTTTCAAAAATTCTGGAGAACGATCTGATTCTTTTAACTACCGTCCCATTAGTCTTCTTATAGTTGATACACAATATATATATATTGTATATATATATATATATATATATATATATATATATATATATATATATATATATATATATATATATATATATATATATATATATATATATATATTATTTTAGCTTTAATTTTTTGTAATGATTTTTATAATTTATCTAAAAAATGATTTATTCAACCAGGTCATAATTTATTTAACTAGGAAATAATGGATTTACGAGCTCAAACAGAAAGTTTGCACTTTTCGTTGCAAATGGATGATAAAGTTGATAATTATGATAATATATTACGTGATAAGTTGCAAGAATTACGTGAAGAATTTGAAGAAGAAGCAGATAATGCAAAAAGAGAATTAGAAGATGCATATCAAAATAAAGTATATTTATAAATTTTTAATAACAAAATATTATTTTAATAACTTTATTGCAAAAAATATTTGGAGAATACGTTAAATAGGCAGAATTTTGTTTATAGTTTGAAACACTGCGAGCAGAAAGTGATAGAGATCGCTCACATGTGACTCGATTAATAGAGAGTAATACTAACCTAAAAAGTGAATTGGACAAGTTACGATCTGATTATAGTAATCTGGAATCAAAGGTTAGTATAGAAATGTTCTTGTTTGTTTTTAAATTATGATTTTATATTATCATATTTTAGATATAAATATTTTGTTTGTTATTATAATTTACTTGCTGTCCGGACTTATTTCCTTTTTAAAGATCGCTATTTAACACCAGATTAGATTTTAAAAGCTTTTTAATGTTTTTAGAAATTAATTCGTTTTTGAAAAGCTTTTTTATTAAATCTCTCCATTTTATTTGTTATAGTATATAATATCTTTATATATGTTATGCATATAATATCCATATAATAGCCTTTAAAAATGTTTTACTTAGTATTCTAGAAAATTGGAAAAGATTATTTAAAAAAGTGTAATTTGAACCCACGCGAAGCACTTCAACCACTTTGACATGGTATATCATCTTTTAACAGTTTAATCAACAAAAGACTTATTAATCTTTATAAAACATAAAGTATACAAATGTTATAAATTAAAATTAAGGAGATAATGCAGTGATGAAATTTTCAAATAAAAGTAAATATGTAAAGCTTAATATAATTTTTAATAACTTACATAACTTGAAGTTTAAGTGTTATTTACATAGACTTTGGTTCACATAGATAAAATACAAATCATTACAGATTGTGGTTTCAAAAAAAATGCCTATTACAGCTTTATAAAATAAAAGATATTTTTATTTTAATAAAACATAACAATTTTCAATTGTTGTCTATTGAACAAACACGTTATCTGATTAATCTAAAAAAATTAATCGGAATAAAAAAAGGAAAAAATACACCACATGTATTACTGAAAATCAGTTTATTTATACATAATAGCAAAATAAAATATATATAACAAAATGGATCAATTTACCTGTTGCTGATGTTTTTTGAGCATTGTTAAAAATAATCAAAAGCTGAAAGAAAAATTTATTGCAAAGACAATTAATCAAAATAAAAAAACATAAAAGCTATCAGTGCAAACAAATTTTGTAAATAGAAAATAAAATTATTCTTACCTTGATTGTGACAAACTAATTTCTTTTCAAACTATTAGCTAATGATCAACTAACTTTAAGTAATTAAAGTTTGTTGATATAGTGTGATATAGTGACTTATGATAGTTGGTAGAGCACCAAAATAAAAATAAAAAAATTAAAAAAACAACTAAATTTAATATGTTTGTAATATATAATATTTGCAGTTAAATGTGAAAAAGAGCTCTTCCATCATTAGATAATAAAGATAAAATTATAAAAACAAACAAATAAAAAAATTTAAAAAAAAAGAATATAGTAAAATGTTTATTTTTATTAACAATACAATCCTTTTAATTAAAAACAATATTTTCATGATAAGATAAGGACACATCAATAAAGAACATACACAGAGAAAAATTGATTTTCAAGTTGTTTTACAAATTTATTGTAAATACAATAAATTCATAAAAGAATGCTTATTGCTTATTGTAAATACAAAAAATTTGTAAAAGAATTTACATTGCAGCAACAATAGCTGCTGCAATGTAATTTTTTTAATAAGTAAATTTAAAAACTTTTTTAAAAGTAAATTTTATAAAATCTAACCAGTATATCACCGCCAGACAATAACGCTGTATAGATATTTAGACTCATATAAAACACAGTTGAATATAACATTAAATGAACATAAAATTATTAAAAACCAATAAAAAATAATAAACAACTTACTTGTATTTAAAATAAGATCAACTTTAGCTTTTATAAATTTAAAATCCTGTCAAGATACAATTTCAATACATAACCTTTAAAACAGAACATGTTTCATTAAGTAAAACATCAAAAAGTTAAACTTTAGTAACTTGAAAAACAGATTAAAAAGTTTAAAAGATTAAAAAAAAATACTATTTATAAATTAAAGTATATTCAATAATTACATCATTTATGATAATGATTATAGAAGATGTAAAGATAATGATAAGTAAGAGGTTCCGAGTTTGATCCCCACTACGTCCCTGGTACAGGGTTCCACTCCTCCTTAAAGAACTTCCTTAAATGTTCTTAAATAACCTTTAAAAAAGTTCAAATTTCACTGTACTCCTTAATTTCTCCTTATTTTTTATTTTTGAAATATCTAGGAAATTTTATTTAAGTGAATGGATTATACTTATTAATAAAGAGGAAAATATATAGTTCTTTGATAGTTCGCAAACCTATAATTTTATTAAATATATATTTTTACATATATATATATACAGGCCTTGCGATAAAGCGTCGGGCAATGTGAATTTTATGTTGTTCAAGAGCGATTTTGCGTGTAGCTAGGGCTATTTGCGTTGAGCAAAAAAATTTTTGTTTGAGTATATTTAAAGATATTTTTGAGTGGAATTTTAATGAAGTAATTTACGATTATTTTAACATTTAATAAAGTATTTTAAAAACCGCACGCAGTTGATACAAAAGATTGAATTACAAAAAAATTAAATATGCTCGTTATTTACAAGTAGAAAAAATTAAATCTTTTTAAATCTTTTTAAGGTAACATTTTAATAAAATTATTCAGCAATAGCGAACAAAAATACTTTCTTTTAGTTTTAGATATTTAACTTATATAAATATTTTACGGGGGTTTGTTAGGTTTTAAAATTATTCCATAGATTTAAAAGTATTTAATAACTGTTAGACGTATTTAAAGTATTTAAGAGTAATTTCGAGGAAACATTTTAAAAATTGGTTAGCGCAAAAAAAAATAAATAAAAGGAATAATATTTAAACTTATTCTACTTGATTCAATAAGAAAAGTACAGCTATTTAGATTTTTGTAAAAAGTAACTCGAAAAAAATTACTTAAATAATAACAATCGCTTTTTTGTTAAAAGTTACTAAAACTCAACGAAGCGTGCTCAAGATCAGCTGCTGAAAAATAGAACGTCAATAGTTTTTTTGAATAATTTTTAAGAATAATTTTTTTTGCTGAAATATGTCTTTTATACCTATAAGATTTTTATTCTAACATTTTATTTTACCAAAAATAAAATTCCTTGTAAACATTAAAAATCTATTCAAAATGTTCGTTAAAGTTTTTTAGTAATACGTGTGATTGTGCTTATCAACCGCCATATGAAAATAGATAAAAATAAAAAATATTATATAAAATCGCTAGTAAAAATATTAGCTATTGCACAGTTTTTAATCATACAATATTAAAATTTCCAGTTTATTACTTGCTAACTTTTTAAAAAGAAAAAATAATTATTTGAAAAACTTTTAATTATATATTTGAGGAAAAAAAAATCAAATATTAGCATATTTTATAATCTTTTTTAAATGTTTAGTTATGTTTTTTATTCGTTTAGTATAGACAAAACGTGTCAAACGTTGAGAAAATAAACAAATGTTTTTACATTTTAAAAAACGAAACATTCCAAAACATTTTTAAATAATAACATTTCTACATTAATGATTTAAAGTAGTTTTGCGGTAGTTAAGTAAATTGGTGCAGTTAATGTCAATAAATATGAAAAGCAAATAAAAAGAATTTAATGACGTCAAAAATCGCGTCGTGCTTATGCGTCACGCAGTTTTTATTCATCACAAGGCCTGATATATATAAAAAGTAATATATTAATTTATAACAATTTCTCTGTTTATATTTAAAATTTATTGAAAAAAAAAAAGATTCTGTTTTTAATATAATCGTTTTCTCCTAAATTCTCCTTATATTTTCTTTTAAAAAATTGTTGTTCACAACCAAATCTCCTTAAAATCCTTACTTTTAGTCTCAGTTTTAACAGTGGGAACCCTGCTGGTAGTACCGCACTCAACTTGTTTCTCTGCGTAGATGCTTTGTTCATCAAGGCTTGTGTTTCGGAGTTATAGAGTCGAGAGAGGGTTATAACCACAATTAAGTAGCCTCCTCGTCTTTAAAGTATTTTTTAAAAAAATTTCCAAAATTATACAGAGTTTAAAACTATTTTGATGGTAATCTAAATTCTGTCATTGTTGCGCACTCGGTTTAAAATTTTTTTTACAGAGGTGTGGTAAAATTTCCTTATTACCCTAATATTAGGCATTTTTAACTTTTATTATTATTATTATTATTATTATTTTAATTATAAATTTAATAAAATTCAAAAGTTTATTTTAAATATAAAAATAGAATTCCCAATTATGTTTTTAATAAAAACATATTTTTTAAATCCCCTTTAATGCTTTAAAAAAGTTAAGGTCGCCGCATGGCAAGTTCAAATCATCAGGTTGCTTCTCTTTTTTTTTCAATTTTTGTTATTTAAAATGCAAAACAAAACAACTTTTTTTTTTTCAAAATAAATTTCTCTCTTTAAAAGCGTTTTATTTTGTATTATAGAAAAATCAAAAAAATAAATAAATACATAAAAAGAAAAAAAAAAACAGCATTTGAAGCCCTGTGTGCTAAACACTTAGATGTCTAGCAAAAATTTTAAAACTATATAAGAAATAAAAGACTTTAAATCGGAAATAAGTGCTACAGATCAAATCTTAAGGAGATATTGTCGCAATTTTCAAGTGAAAGTAAAACTATAAAACTTGATATATGTTTCAAAGGATGGGAGGTGTGCAAAATTTTACAAAATACAAAACGATTTTAAATATAATAATGTCTATAATTCTCTGAGCTTCTTTGAGTTAATTAGTACTTCAGTCAATGTTGTTTTTTTTTTTTGTTTTTTTTGCCTCAATAGTTCTGTGTAAAATTGTATAAATTAACATCGCTCTCCTAAACATGATACCAATTTTAAAAATCTATTTTTCCGATATATAATACATGCAAAATATTATATATATATATATATATATATATATATATATATATATATATATATATATATATATATATATATATATATATATATATAATAAATAATATACATATTATACATGCAAAAGTATTAAGTTATAAATACAATTTTCTGCAAACTAGTAACGTAAGCGTGGTAGAGTGGATTCTGCCTCCGGCTAGTAAACCGAGGGTTCCAGGTTCGTTTCTCAGTTCGTTTTTTTTAGTTGTTGCACAAAGATAGTGTTTTTGTTGCTGCACACTTTTGTGCGCCAACTAAATAAAGTTCTGCACTTGAACCATATAACCCCCCCCCCCCCCTCCTAAGTGTGACGTAATTTATGGATGACCCCTATATATATATATATATATATATATATATATATATATATATATATATATATATATATATATATATATATATATATATATATATATATTATATATATATATATATTATATATATTATATATATTCAAATTATTATTTTAATTTTATTTACAGGTTGTGCAGTTACAAAAACGAATCAGTGATTTGGATAGCTTAAGACAACATGACAAAGATGATTTTCACAAACAACTACAGGTTCGTGATGATAAAAATCGTTTGTTGCAAGACAAAATTGATGAGTTACAAAATGAGTATGAAGCATTGCTTGGGATCAAGATTGCATTAGATGTTGAGATTGCTGCTTATAGAAAGTTATTGGAAGGAGAAGAAGAGAGGTTTGTATATATTGCATAACTTCTATATAATTGTTTCATTTATCTTTTATATTTCAATTTTTGTCTTTTTTGTTTTTTACAGTAATTAAATAATGTAATAAACTTTAAACTAAACTTAGATGTAATGTTATTTTTAAAAAATATGCAAAAATGCTTCATAACTAAACACATTTTTATTTCCGATTGTCTTCAAGCATAACATGAAGTCATACTAAATCAGTGTGAAAAAAACAACCAGTCAATGGTCAATGACTGCCCGAAATGACTAAAAATGCTTTTTTGACTTCCCATAATGAATTCTTGCCAGTCATGGTTGACTGATTGAAAAAAAATTAGAGTTTTAAAAGCAAGATTTGACACATAATCAGGATCTTATTTGGAAAGTGCAAATACTAAAATTTCATAAAATCATTAAAATTTTGAAAGTGTTTAATAAAGAGTCTTCTTGTTTATGCTACATCACTTTAATTGCTAGCAGGGTGCTAGCAAAAAGAAGTTATAGCAAATTTTTTCATTAATCCTTTTATTTTTTAATACTGTTTTTATCTTTGTTTTTTAAATGTTCCATTAAATTAACTTTTTATCAAAAATTCAATAATTAAAAGTTAATAATTTATTAACAATTTTATATTATTAACTCTAATAATTAAAATATATTTGAATATATATTAAACTCATTAAAACTACTACCTAATAATTATTGCATATTATTAGAAACTTTTTTTGCTTTAACAACTCCAAACTCATTAATTCGCTTCGTTGACAAATGTATTATACATGATGTAAACTATATCTATTAAATTTTTTGCTTCACTTATTTGAATTAATTTCATTTATTCACTTATTTAAATTAGTTTACCAATGGTGAAAATCCTTTTTTCTTAAGGTGGGTCTTACCCAAAAGAAATTTACATACTTTTAAAAAATATATACTTTTGTATATTTCCTATACATTTTTTCAATTTTTTTGACCCATGTCAAATTATTTATCTTGGACCAAAATTAAAAGTCTAAATATATTTTGCATCCAAATTAATTGCCTGATGTTCAGGTGTAAACCAAACCTTATAGTTTGTTGTAAATTTGGTATATTTTACAAGAGTTAAATCAGAACTTTTTTGTCAAACAGTTGTTATTGTATGTAACAGTTATTGTTGTTAATTTGCATATTTTATAAATATATTATTAAATAAAAACTTCTATTATGAATAACTTAACTTTTTATTTTTTGAATTAATTTTTATACAATATTTCAAGAGAGTATAGATACCCTAATTGTTTACAGTTCATAAAAGTTCATAGATACCCTGTGTTTACAGGTCATAAAAGTCAGACATGTGGTGATGATTCTCATGACATAACAAAGCAATCCACTTCTGATTCTCCTGTCAATGTTACAAAATCTGAAATTAAGATTAATACAAATTGTCCTCTTCTCCAAGCTGAAAGTCAGAACATTGTAACCAGACAAAAAGCTCATAATTTCCAAGTCCCTCTGACATAATTTAATAAAAGCAAATCAATATCAATAATTTTAAAGCTGTGTGCTTTAACATAGTGAAAGTACACAGCTTTAAAAATCACATAGTGAAAGCACGCAGTTTTAAAAATCACATAGTGAAAGTACACAGTTTTAAAAATCACATAGTGAAAGCACACATCTTTAAAAATCACATAGTGAAAGTACACAAAGTACACATTTAAAATTATTGATATTGATTTGCTTCAAGATTGTGTGTATAGTTCTGCTATTTGCAGTAGTTGTAGATCACCAAGATCTAAATTTCAATTTTTGCAAGATAACTCTCAAAAAGCTGGTTTAAAAGAACAACTTTTTCTGCAATGCAAATTATGTCACCACCAAACATTGTTTCTCACAAATAAAAATTGTTTTAAAACAAAGACTTATGTCGAAATCAATGTGAGGACAGTACTAGATGGAATTTTGTGTGGCATTGGCTAAAGTAGTTTACAGCAGTTCAAGTTAAATATTGCACACCCAATAACAAATTATGTTTACAATAAGTTATTGAAAGATTTTTATTCAATTGCTACATGTGAAGCCAAGATCTGCAGTGCTCAGGCTGCTAATAATGTGAAACAACATTTAATAAAAAAGATGAAAATTAATTAAATTCAAATGTGTTCTCTATGTGTGACTGTTGATGGTACCTGGGAAAAGCAATATGGCTTTAATTCATTGCTAGGTGTAGTTTTTGTTTTATCTGTTGATACTGGAGAAATGCTGGACTATGAGGTAAAAATAAAATACTGTTTTGAATGCAGTGCAAGAAATAGTCCATCTATTTTACAAGAACAAAATCTGGTATAAAACTCATAAACCAAACTGCAGTATCAATCACACCACATAAGCAGAATCCATGGAAAAAGACTGTGCAGTTGAAATTTTTTCTTTTCATTACACAATTTGAAGTATACTGCTTATGTTGTTGATGGTGATTCATCATCTTTGGCTGTTGTTTGTGATGCTATGCTTAAAAAGTATTTAGATTACATAGTTGTTAAAAAGAACTGTGTTGGGCACATTCAAAAAAAAAAAAAAAGGAACAAAACTAAGAAATTATAAGAAGGAAAAAAAAAAAGACAAAAGTTTGGTGATAATTTTACCGTTGGTGGTTATTAGGGATGCGGAGTTCCAAAAAGGACTCCGGAATTGAAAGTCACAAAAAGATCACTTCTTTCCTAGTTTTTCTTATCCAGGAGCTTTAAAAATAGAAAAAAGCTTATGGAATACTAATGGGGAAAAAATCAAGACTTATAGGTCAGAAGAAAAATAAATATTTGAACCCAGACTCCAGGGCTCCAGGACTGCAGGCTTAAAAACAATAAGTTCCAAGTCATTAAACATCATACATTTTTTTCTTATAATATAACAGTTCATTAATCAGCCAACATGTTTAGAGCTTCTGGACACCAGAGACCATAAAAAAATTAAGTTATAAAGCCGGAGTCCTTTTTTTAAATTACTACGGGGCAACTATTCCGAATAATTCAAATAACATTAAAAAATATACAAAATGCCATTTAAGCAATATACTTTCATTTAATTCGAAGAAAAGGTGAAAATTTTTCACAAAAGCATTCTTTTTGCCCAAGTGGCACAAATTTGTGGTGTTGTTACAAACAATCAAAATGTCTACCATCTGTATTTAGAGATGAATTGAAACATCTTAGCAGGCTTTCAAAGTTAGAACTTCTCCAATCTTGTTTGAAAGGCATGGCGCAAAACCAAAATAAAGCTTTGGATTCAGTTCTTTGGAGCATATGTCCAAAACGTATAATTTGTGGAAGAATAAAATTGGCTGTTGGTACCACCTTAGCTGTTATTCAATGGAATTCTGGAGTAGCAGGATTAAGTAGTATTCTTACATAGATAGGGATTAAGTTGGAGCTTATACAAATACAGGTTTAAAAAAAAAAACTTTCTTCGCTTAAAAAAAATCTGTTTTAAAATCCAGAAATAGACTTAATCATTGCCAGCAGTTATGACAAAATTGAAAAAGGAAGTTTGATACAAAGCTCTCATTTAATCCAGGGGGATTTAGCATTTATCCAGAGCCTGATGGTATCATTAAAAAAATAAAAGTTGGAAATAATAAGGAAGTTTAAAATACAATTACACTTTCTTTCTTTTTTTTCTTTTTTTCTTTTTTTTTTTTTTTATGTTAACATGGCAACTGTTGTCGCGAAAAAAATCTTTCATTCAAATCAATAGTTTTTATGTGGTTGTCATTATTGTTCAAAAAGATTTTGAAATTTTCAATTTTTTATTGAGATAACCTCTCTTAAAGTCTTTTTATTGTTTTGGTTTCCATGAAACACTACCCTAAATACTCTACAATTGTTGACAATTTTTATTCAAAGTATTCACCATAAAGTTCTTTTACACTCATGATACCTAATTAGAATTTCTTTAAAATGCTTTAATTGTTTAAGATTATTTTTTGCAGAACAATAGCTTTTTTTAATTTTTGGTTAACGCCTACCTTCAAATGATTGAAGTTCTTATTATTATTTAAGCAAACAAAAACTTATTGTTAAAATAATAATATAATAATTTATGCATTTAACTATAAATATTTTTTCTTTCATCAGCACTTAGTCAATTTGTTTTATTTTTCTCTAAATCTTTTTATTTATTTTCTTGTAAGTTTTGCTGAAAATTGCAAATAAATGAATGAATAATTTATAGATAAATTAAAAATTACTAATTGGGCGTGTTTTTTATTTTATAATAGGATAATTTAAAAGATTTAAATATTCAGTTAAAATCTTGTTTTATGTAACATTAGAAATTTTTTTATGTTTCATTAAACAATAGTCTTCTAAGTATTAAATATTCTGTTAAATCTGCAAGCGTGAGTTTATAACATTATTATTAACTAATTAGCGGTTTTTGAAATGATTTTAATGAGATAAAAAGATAAAATGATAATAAAATGTGCACTGGTTTTTCTTCTTTAACTTCAGAGATTAAAGTTTTTATTATTATTCGAGATTAAAGTTTTTATTATTATTCGAAATTATTGTATTTAATTAAGAACATAATCTTTACTTTCCTTTTTTTTTATCATTCAATCTTTTCTATTATTTTTCTAGTAGCTTTTCCCACCATTCCCAATCCAATGAAATGAATTATTTTTAAATAAATTAAAAATTATCAATTGCCTGTTTGCTCTTTTTAAAAAAAGAATTGATTTTATTTAAAATTGTTATTATTAAAATAATACGAATTCACTACCTTTCTAGCATTAACTTGTTTTTGTATTGTAAAGTTTAGTCAAGAAGAACTATTGCTAAAATTTAAACAAAGAAAAAATACAAAATTTGACCGTCTAAAAAAATAATTGATCATCAATTCCTTGAGTTGGCTGCGAAAAATAAAAATTGACCGCTCATCTTTGATTTCTTATTTTTCACACTGTACTGAATGTTATAACAAAATCTTTTTATTCACATCCTGTAACTAATCACAGGTTTTTATTTATGTTCAATTTTTTTAAACTAACAAAGTCTGTAGGATTGTTACAAACTTGAACATTGTAATTTTATATTTACACACAATTGACTTTTTATTTCCAATCGGTAACACTTACAGCCAGTAATCGGTAACACTTACAGCCAGTAATCGATAACACTTACAGCCAGTATTTGATAGCACTTACAGCCAGTAGTCGATTACACTTACAGTATTTTAAATAATATAATTTTGTTATTCTTTAATTATTTGTGTAACAAATACATTCATAAGATAAGAATTATGTATAGGTTAAATATATCTACCCCACCACGTGGAAGCACTTCTAAACGAGGCACTAAACGAAGCAGGGCTGATGACGAAGAACAACCTCATGTAGAGAATAATGCAATTGGAAGCATTGAAATAGCTGAATGTGACAGTGACGCAAAATTTGTGCGTTTAATCAACAACTCAGATAAAGTATATTTATTTATATATTTTTTAAATCAAGCTATCAAAAAAATTAATGATCATTTGTTATGATATGGCTACTGTTAAAATGTTTTATGTTTTTTTTAGCAGAAAATTAGTCATAATTTAGGGTAATTATTTACATTTCATAATTTGTTCAATTAAAAAAGGATGAACCTTTGGGTGGCTGGAGTGTGCAACGTATTGTTGATGGAAAAGATGAGCAAGCAGTTGAATACAAATTTACACCAAAGTTTGTGTTAAAAGGAAAGCAAACTGTGACAGTACATATTTTTAAATTTTTTTTTAAAGTTTTTTTAAGCTTTTTTGAGTATATTGGCTAAATTGTTTTAGTGAGCTAGAAAAATGTTTCTTATTTTGAATTTAAAATCTTTAGATATGGAGTCAAAACAGTGGTGTGAAGCAGAAGCCTCCTACTGATTTTGTGCTTAAACAAGAAGATTGGAGTCATGGATCTTCCATGACTACATCTTTAATTAACCCTGACGCTGAGGTGAGCTTCTTAAAAATATATAGATGTTTTTGAAACGTCAACATATGTTAAAGATTTGAAAATTTAAAAAAGATATTGCCATATAAAATACTTGGTAAATTTCGTTTTTCAAATATTTTGAAGTTAAACCTTGGTATGTGTTGGCAGAATTATTTTAACTTTATAATAAATCTTTTATGCTTGCTAATTAGAGCACATAAGTAACTTATGAGCAACTCAAGTATATTTTTTTAGTTGTTTTAATATCTTATCAAAAATAGTTAGTCAGTTCAAACATTAAATTCTCTTATATTTTTTGTTATTTACAAACGACAAAAAGATAATTTTATTTCGATGGTTTACTGTGATCCGGTTTGATCTGGTTCAAACATTAAATTCCCTTATATTTTTTGTTATTTATAAACGACAAAAAGTTAATTTCATTTCGATGGTTTACTGTGATGGTTGTTTTGTTAAACTAATGATAATAATTGTATGATAAAACTGGATTGGTTGATTGTGATGGTTGTCTCATCAAGCTGTCATGATAATAATTCATATTTATACAGTTTTCTAATTTTTCTTTTGGTTTATAAAATAATTGCACAGGGCACTGTATCTTTACTTGAAAATAATTATGAATGATTATAATAGTTAATTGAGAAGTAGAATCCAATAAATATTAATGACAAAACATGAACTTTTTTTTATATCTAAAAGCAACTTAATTTTATCAATGATTATATATTATACAAATAATTTGTATTTATCTATATAAGATAACAAGTAATACGCCATATTTACATAGGACTTCTTTAATTATTTTAAATAAGTTGTTTGTATGGAGTTTATAAAAATACACTATTTATGTTGATCAAATAACATTTAGATTGTAGCAAAGCACACAATTGCTTTACCCACACCTCCTGTTGGTACCCGAAGAATACGCAAGGTACAGGTTGGTTATTTGTTGATTTCACTTTAACGTTTTTTCTTCGATTTTTTTTAATGAAAATAACTTGTTGATTTTAGCGTCGAGAAGGCGGCGAACGTGAATCGTGTAAAATCATGTAAACCATTTTGAAATGATTTCTGTTTATTGACTTCGAGAACTAAACTGTTAGTTTTTATCTCAGAGAATAAAGCTAGTTAGAGTTGTCAATAAATCCCGCAGTCGTTCGAGTTGTCAAGTCGTTCGAGGTTGACAGTGTTTAGATAGTGGTATTTTGTTAGAACTTTTGTTCATTTCTTAAACTTGCGTAGGTCGATGATTGTTTTTTAGAAAACTTTAATGGGTATCATGTTTATATATTTTTAACTTATAAAAACGGTAGGTAGTTTTTAAGTTACAATATGATTTTTATTTTATATATTTTCAATTTTTTGTTTTCTTCGATATTGTTGGTTTTTACTCAGCGCAATTAGTATAGGAAATTGGAATTGAAGGCGATTTTGTGTTTTGTAATATATACTTTGATTACTATTTTTATTTTTGTCAAATGTATTGTGATCTTTTTTATTTTTTATTGATACAAGTTGTTGTTCTTCGCTTTTTCTGGTCATTTTATCTATCATACTTTTACATAATATGTTTTACTTTTAAATGAGAAAGCAAAAATATTGATTTTAAGGCGATATGCAAAAAACTTTTTTTTTATTAATTTTAATAATTAAATGACCAAAGTTTTAATACTTTTTCAGATTCAAATCTCTTTTCAAACCTAAAGGTTTCGAATCTAAAGGTTTCGAACCTAAAGGTTTTTCAATGCGCAAACGATAAACGATACTTAAATAAAATAACCAGTAAAACCGATAAAAATATCAAATATAAGTAACAATGATTTACTAAATAGAGAAAAGCACCTTAAAGGAGATTAAGAGGCTTCTTAAAGGGAAGGAAATAAATTTTGCGAGGGTAACAAATGCAAATAAGAAAATTATATTGCATCACTGAAAAGTACTTTATTAAGTTCTTTATACCATTAAAACTTCTATAGGTACGGAAAAAATTTAAAAAGAAAATAAATTAAAACTTCTGTAGGTATAGGAAAAGATTAATATAAAGAGATTTTAACAAATAAAATTGTAAATAACAAAAATAAGTGCATTCGCAAAAGCTGTCGATATCGACCAAAAGCAAAAACTTTTTTTTTTTACGCCTAAATCGAACCGCTTTCCTTGGTCCTTTGGAATTACTTTTAAAAGCAACATATCAACCACCGTGAGAAAGAATTTGACCAGATTTTTTGTACGAAACATCTTTAAAATTGGCAATAACACAATAAAAATTGTTTTGAAGATCTCACCGTAAGTTTTTTTGTATGTCAAATAAGCATTCTTTGCAAAAAATCAAAAAGATGATTGAAGCTTGGGATCAAAAAACCCCAAAAAAAAATTCCCCCTCCCCCAAACGTGAGAAAAGTTGTTTATAAAATATTTTTTATACTATTCTTAACTAAATTTATTTTCATCGTTAAATTTTAAATTTCATAGTATATTTCAGCGTTCAAAAATTATGACTATATAAAGTTTTTATCCCTGTCAATTTGAGAGGGTTACAAATTTTATATTTTCATAACTTTTGAGCGCTAAAAGATTATACCATGAAACTTAAAAATTATCAATGAATATAATTTTATTTAAGAATTAATTTTTGGCAAAGCATTCTTATTTGACATAAGTATAAACATAAATGATTGGAGTTTGCCCCATGTTTGGAAATTAGCTACCTCAAAGATCAAAATATCTTGGATCCGCCCCTGATTTCCAATGATTTAAACTTATGAGCAGTTCAAGTATATTTTTTTAATTGTTTCAATATCTTATCAAAAAAGTTAGGCTGTTTGAAATTAATGTAGAAATTTTTTTAATTAGTATTAGTCTAAATTATTGCAGTTCGTGAAAATACTGCAAAGCCTTTTACAGTATATGGATATGAGTTTATAACATCACCTAATTTAACTTTAAATTTTAAAACCTAACATACAGCGAATTTGAAGCAGCATTTAAATCATTAAAACGGAATAAGGCAATTGGAGCTGATTGCATCAATGGAAATTTTATAATAGACTCCTTTGACGTTTTAAAAGATATACTCTTTAAAATTTGTAATGCCTCTATTGCTCAAGGATCCTTTTCAGACTCTCTAAAAGTAGCAAAAATTACTCTTATTTATAAATCAGGTGACCATTGTAACATTACAAATTATCGTCCTATTTCAGTTCTTCCAGTTTTCTCTAAAATACTAGAAAGAATAATGTATAACATAGTTTACAATTATTTTCTTGATACTAAACTTTTATATAATAATCAATTCGGCTTCGGAAAAAACTATTTTACTGAACACGCCATACTTTAACTAACACGCAGCATTTCTAATTCTTTTAAAAATTCTAATTATACCCTAGGAGTATTCATCGATTTGTCTAAAGCTTTTGATACTGTTGATTACGACATTCTTTTAAAAAAATTAGAACTCTATGGAATTAAAGATAAATCCCTAAGCTGGTTCAAAAGCTATCTTAGTAATCGTAAGAAGTTTGTTAATATCCAAGACTCTTTTTTGCCTTTATTAATGAATGTAACATGTGGTGTCCCACATGTTACATTCATTAATATCTAACTTAACCACTATAATTTTTGCTAATGACACAAACCTATTCCAATCTCATGAATGCATAAATACACTTTTTAATAATATTATACAAGAATTAAAAAAAATCTTATATTGGTTTAAGAAAAACAAATTGTCCCTCAATATTGATAAAACAAAATGGACACTTTTTTACCTAATATCCAGAAAAAAATGTTTACCAAAAATGTTTACAGCCTTCAACCTCTTCATTGATAATACAATACTAAAATAGGAAAAAGTTACAAAACTTCTCGAAGTTCTTGTAGACGAAAACTTATCCTGGAAACAACAAATCGATAATATCTCCTTGAAAGTTGCTAAAAGTATTGGAATTATATATAAATTTCGATATATTTTAAATAAACAACAATTAAAACAAGTATATTATTTGTTTATCCACTGCCATTTAAATTATGAAAATTTGTTATTTGGTCTCTAAAAACTCAATGTTGTAGCCTTATTTTTATGTAGATCAGTATATTATTACAAAATTTTCACAAAAATATATATAAAAAAGGATTAAAAATATCTTAGAGTACTTAAACTTTATTTTCAATTAACAACTTTTTAGTAACTCATAGATTTGTTTATTTATTTGAAATAAATTTTCTTAAAATCTGACTGTAGGATTTCAACAATTTTTTTTTTAAACTTCAGATAAATATGTATTATATTTATGATATTTTTCTGGTGATTGCTTCAACTTTTTTTCAATATAAAAATTAGTTTTTACTGTTATGACTATTTACTAATATATATATATATATATATATATATATATATATATATATATATATATATATATATATATATATATATATATATATATATATATATATATATATATATATATATATATATATATATATATATGTATATATATATATATATATATATATATATATATATATATATATATATATATATATATATATATATATATATATATATATATATATATATATACATATATATACATATATATATATACAGGCCCGCCTAGAGCTTTTGTGATGCCCGGGTCCAAAAGTTTAATGGATGCCCTATCTTACTTCAGGTCTTAAAATGACAAATACAAAATAAATTAGTATAGTTAGTTTTTGTTTACTTTCATTGAAAATCTGAAACCACATTTAGTAAATTTTGGTTTTTAAAAACAAACTATGGTAAAATCAAGTCTTAATATCGAACGCATCTTTCTGGCCTTCTTATCGGCAAAAATAACTACTTGATAAGAAACGTTATTGGCTAAATCTGATTTAATTGAAAGGATCATCAAGTAGCACAATCGCTTCTGGTCCATTGTGGAATGAAAATAACCTTTAATGATAGTTAACTTATTGAAAGATCTTTCACCTTCAGATGTTGAAACGGGAAATATTTGGAAAATTGTAAGTGAAACACACCCTAGTGAAAATATTGAATGCAATCCCTTTGCATAAACTTTATTTAGATGTTCGGCAGGCTTTTTGCTGCCTAGAATAATTCTTCTTACAAAAAAAAAAAAGCAAAACTTCATCAGAAAATTCATTTTTACATAAGTCTTCTGGGTGATGTTTTGCGAGATTCTCAGCTTTTAAACCTAGTTCTTTGTCTGTTTGAGATTTCTGTGAAGACCAAAGGAAGGAAAACTTGTTACATTCCACTTGTATTACTTTAAATCTTGATTTCATTTGAATAGTCAGATTGCCGAGTGCGAAATTGAAGACATTAGCCTTGACTACGACAATTTTTTGTGTCGAACTCAATCTCTTATAACTCACTCAATATCAACTTTGTTATATCAGATCCTTTCTTCTTTTCAAGTTTTTCTAGTTTAAGGAACCTTTCTTTGACCTCCCACAGATGATTATCACTGAAATGCAAAAAACAAAAAATGAAAGTAATTTGACTGCTGTGTGACAAATCGTCAGTGCTGTACATGGTGATAGTGAAATATATTGATTTTTTGATTTCTCAAATACCTTCTAAAACCATACTCTATAAACTCATTCTGAAAATTTCAGGACAAGTAATAAACTTGCTACGCTTTTCTTTTTCTTGGTGCTTAGCTATAATCTCTAAGAAATTTCATTCTTAAACACTTTTTGATTGGATCCTAATTGCAAACAAAAAATTATCAAAATAGTAATCCATATTTATATTCAATTATAAATTATAATTTTGATTTTTAAATTATAAATAAAATAATGCAAAATATAATTTAAAATTCAAAAACAATATTCTTAATCCTAAACGCTAAATTTTATTATGTTATAAAAATTGTGACATCAAGAATGCATTATAAAATTACTTTCTATCGCTTTGTTTTATCTTTTTATAAAAGAACTTTTACCGTTATTTTTTTTTTTGCCGTTAAATAAGAAAATTTTTTATTTTATTATGCAAGCAAAAGGGCAACGAAAACGCGTGTGTTCAAATGGAAAATGAAAACCTTGTAAAGTAATAATTATCCTATTTTAAATATAAACAAAGTTTTAAAGGAGAACAAAATTATTACACAAAGTTTGCTTAAGCTTTAAATATGTTATCGTCTAAATTTTTTGTTATTACAATAATTTTTAAAGGCATATGTGATGCCCCATAGACTGTGATGCCCGGGGCAAACTACTTCAATTGCCCCTCCCTCTTGGCGGCCCTGTATATATATACATATATATATATATATATATATATATATATATATATATATATATATATATATATATATATATATATATATATATATATATATATATATGTATATATATATACAGGGGCGGGTTTAGCTTTTTAAAGAGGTTAGTCAAAAAAGTCGGTTGCGGATTTTACTGCCCCCTCCCCACGAAAGGACGGGGGGGGGGATGAAGATAAAATACAAAAAAAAGCACCTACCCCATTTGTTTGATAAATAAGTTATTTGCAAAGCCTTCAAAAA